AATGAGTCCAAAACAAGGTACATACAAACTGTAACTAAAAATCCAAACAAACCAAGCTGAAGTAATTAGCTTGATAGGGCAGGAGAAGGAATTTCAGACTTGAAAGCATGGCAAAGCTCACACAGTTGGGAAGATGTCAGGAACACAGATAAGCCACAATGATACAAGATAAAATCACGTTTGCTCCCAACAGCTTGCTGTACGCAGCTTCCTTTTTTATACACTGTGTTCCCAGCTGCAGCTAATGAAGGGAATCAGGGCCCTTTCCTTCCCCATAAGCCACGCAACTCACATTGCTCCCTTCTCCATTCCTCCCCGCGTGCCCTAGGATGAAGAGGAGGTGGGCCTGGATCTTCCTCTGAATTCTCTCTCTCTTGCTCTACGTCTTCCCTGCTCTGCCCAGTCAGACTTTGCCCTTCCCCAGTTTCTTCCACAGTCAATGGAGCCACACTCCCACTCCCTGTCAGCTGTTTGGCTTCCCCCTCCAAGTCAGATTCTGACAGAGGCATGACATAGTACAGGTTCTTATATGAAAGCTGCCATATTCATAAAACTATTAGGCATAAAGCATTCTCTTCTGGTATATTTGAACATTTGTCTATTATTACTGAACCAACCACAAGCAACTTCTAATATTTATTGGTATATATGAAAATATCCTTGTAATGTTTCAGATATTGGCAGACATTTTGACAAAGGCAATGTTTAAATACTACATCTACATAAAATACATAAGGCATTTTGATTTTTATGAGCAAAGTTCCCTGAACAACGCATGTCCAAGTTCTGTATTATACAGTATCATGTTAATACATCTCAGTTCTCCCTTAAGAACAATGACTGTATTATGAAAGAAAATGGTTATAACAGGAATTAACTCAAAAGTCTGTGTAAGGAATTCATCAACAGCTGTGTTACCAGTAGGAGGATCATCAAATGTTTCATTTGCCAAAAGCTCAATGTATTTTCATTCCAAAGACAGAATTGGAGGTAATCCAGGCACACAAAAAGAACTCAGAGTTACAAAGGGGTGTAGTCCCATAGAGTTATAGCTATACAAAAAAATAAAATAAAAATATAATGAGCAATAAATACTACGAGAGAAGGAGGAAATTGACATAACCCCTTCTTTTCAGGATTCATATTGTATAATTGTATTAAATGTTCCTCCAAACCATCATTTGGGTAAAGCAGTTCAAGAACACTTTTGTTAAGCCCCACCAGCCATTCAAACTCAAGAAGGCTAAATCCTCTACAATATTATTAGCCAAATTCAATAGAATGTAGCTGCACATTGAAAGTGTTTTGTCCCATAAGATTTATATAGAATCATGATGAATTCCCCAGTGTACCTGTTTCCTTATAGTATTTCCCCCTCATATGACAATTTTTGTAAATGATGATGGCTTTAGAGTGTGACAGGATAAACATTCTGTGACAGTTCTCATACTGATAAAGATAGTAGCTATTATCAATCAATGTACATTGATAAAGCAGACAAGCCTCTTCTGCTTTGCATTGCAAGAGGACAAGAATGTTCACAAAGTTTTGTTGACTTAGTTTGCCAATACATATATTCTGATTTGGAAACAGATTACACTACTTGATGGAATTCTTTTAATCTTTCTAATCACAGCTCTTTAATTCCTGGGATTAACTGTTTCCGGTCCAGACAGCAAGAAGATAAAGCAGTTTTGGGAGCCTTTGAGCAAATTTAGTTAGTAAAGATAGGGAGCAGGGAAATAAAGGAGAAATTCAACATATAAGAGGATGAAAGACTTTGTAAGTGTTTCACATAGTCACTAAGGGTGGGATTCAACCAGCATTACTACCGGTTCGGTGATTATGTTTTGCGCACGCTGTGCACGCGTGTAGAAAACCGTAAACTGTGCCATCCGGACAGTTGAAAAAGGGCTGCGCGCAAGTGCGCAGCATTTGAAAAGCCACTTTTTTTCCTGCTTTTTCAACCTCAGCTGTGTCGCGCAAAGCAGCTGAGGTTGAAAAAGCAGGAAATAAAGGACAGGTAAGAGCCCGGGCAGATGGATGGCCCAAAAAGCAGCAAACACAGAACCAGTTTGATGTCTGCTGTTCTTCAGAGCTACCAGTTCTGTAGAAATGGGCAGAACCGGTAGCATCCCACTCCTGATCTTCACCTTAAAGGTAGCATATATTTTTTTCTATATAGAGAAGGCAAATGAATGAGGGTATTGCCAAAATTGTGAAGTGGTTTAACATTGCCTTCCTTCTTTCAGAATATTTTTTTTACTTCCCAAACTAGTCTTCAGTCCTGATTTTTCAGTTCATATCCCATCCAAGCACTAACCAGAGCCAACCTTGTTTAACTTCGAAGCCTGATGTTGGCCAGCTACTGTATCCTGCTGATATATTGTTTAGTTAACCATGCTTTATTAAATGAACTGGCTAAGCTTATACATCATACAAAATTCATTAGGTTACTAATGAATGGTGGCTGGATTTACACAGCATACTGAATCAAAATCAAATCACATAATTCCTTAATGCAATGTGTAAAATCAACCATTGCAACTTATAAATAATAGCTTATTGTTTAGGTAGCAGGACTCATCATATGGTTTATTAAATAAACTTTAATTAAGCAAATGGCTTAGTGTGATGTTGAACACAGTTACATATTAATGAACGATCAGCACTGGTGGATAAATTATTTAGCTCCTAGTTTCCTGCTTTCCTATATAGGATGATTAACAAATTGTAGATTTTGGCTTCCTAGCAGTTCTACTCCCAAGCACTTCTACTGATTTTATTTGTGTGAAAACATAACTGTTGCTTGTCTGAGATTAAACTTGATTGTGCAATATTTTCTGATAGGTACTTTTGAATTTACATTTCAAATATGATTTAACATAATGCTGTGCTTCCCAAACATGCTAAAATAAGATCCTGACTGGCTCAAGGTTGACTTCCATCCTTCCAAGGTTGGTAAAATGAGGACCCACATTGTTGGGGCCATAGGGTCACACTGTAAACTGTTTAGAGAGGGCTATAAAGCACTAGGAAGCAGTATTTAAGTCTAAGTTGGCTTTGCAGCACATTCTCTGTTCTTACATATATAATGATGTTGTGCATGCTTGATGTATTGAGAAGTATTGTTTTTCAGCTTGTCACAGAAACAATGTTGATCTGGGCTGAGAGTTAATGGCTTGTCCAGGTTGAACCAGCTGGCTTCCATGCTTGACAAAGGACTAGAACCTGGATTTTCCTAGTCCTAGTTCAGCACCTTCACTACTACTGTTACATTTTATTGGCTCACACTTACTGCTATATGTCAAACAGTTATTGATACTGACAATCTATTGTCACTGATTATAGCTAGTGGGACATGGCTTTCCTCAGAATTAATTATGCAGTATCTCTTTTGGGCTGGCATAATATTGTTCTTTGGTCTGTCTATAGAATGGCATATGTCAGTGAAGTTCAGCTTTTATCTTTATTTGATAAAATTATATGATTCCATTGCTGTTTTCTTTGACAAAAAGATTGAAATTTAATTTTAAAAATAAGTAATATATTTTTCTCTTGCTCCATAATAATGATTGAAATCAGTTTTTATTTGGAGGTGCTCATATACAAACCCCTCTAGTATTTTAGGAATCAAGGAATTGGAATGTTTAAGAAGCCCTGACAGTATCTTTAGTTGAGTGGACAATGTTTACTTCCACTTCAGACAAAATGAATGGGATCCTTGCAGCAGAAACTAATGAGGAGATGAATAAATAATAATTAGGACTGCAGAAAAAACAATTAATACCAACCTGCCTTCAATCGAGGACCTGTACACTGCATGAGTCAAAAAGAGGGCTGTGAAAATATTTACAGACCCCTCACATCCCGGACATAAACTGTTTCAACTCCTTCCCTCAAAACGACGCTATAGAGCACTGCACACAGAACAACTAGACACAAGAACAGTTTTTCCCCAAACGCCATCACTCTGCTAAACAAATAATTCCCTCAACACTGTTCAACTATTTACAAAGTGTACACTACTATTACTGTTAATCTTCTTATCATTCCTTATCACCCATCCTCTCCCACTTGTGATTGTAGGACTGTCAGTTTGTTGCTTGTATCCATACGATTTATATTGACTGTTTCCTAGTATGATTTGATTGTTGATTGTACCCTATGGCTATCATTAAGTGTTGTCCGTTATGATTCTTGATTCTTAACGAATGTACCTTTTCTTTATGTATACTGAGAGTATTTACACCAAGACAAATTCCTTGTGTGTCCAATCACACTTGGCCAATAAAGTATTCTATTCTATTCCAAACCAGCACACTTCAACTCAGCAGCAGCCCATTCTTTGAAATGCCCCTGGGGTAGCACTTAAGTTTAAAAATAGCCTCTACTGTTGCCCCAATGCCTTGATGCTATTAACAATTGTTTTTAAGTTTAATCTCATAGGGACACTGGTGTGTGCCTGTGCATTTCCCCTAGTTTTCATTGTGGACCCTCCTCCTTGCTGGTAAAGCACTTGTGCAGAGACAATTAGGCCCTTGAATAGAAAGAGATTTCCTTGTCCTGACATAAAACAGAATGGCAGCTGCCCTCCTATAATGACAGCATGTCAATAGAGGTATCTTTGTTCAGCAGCAATACGGAGTTAAACAGGTAATGTCTTTATGTGAAAGACACATTTCTTCTTCCTTCTTTGTCCCCATATATCTATAGATTTTTAATCTAGAACTTTAGTGACCATATTTGTCTTCTGATACCATTGCCTCCTCAAAGTCTGAATGTAGTTCTGATTAATAACTCCCATAAGTGTATGCAGATAAAGATGGCTATGGAATAGACTTTCCACAGAGAGCACCACATGAAAACACTGGCTAGGAATTCTGAAAGTTGCAAGCTGACTCCGCCTGAAGTTCACTAGATGAGGAAGACTCACCCAGAAAAGTGATAGACAGATTTAAGTAATATACATCAGTATAAAAATGACCAGTGATAAAATATTGGATGTTTAGTCATTATTTATTTATTGGTCATTAGTAGTACTTTGGAAATCAGCAATTTGCATAGCTTCTAATTTTACTTTGGTGCCAGAGCAAGCGATACTGCCTGATTCCTGGTGGTTTTCAGGTAGGATATTTGTCAGGTGAAGATTCATACAATTCATATGTCACTGTGGGGGATGAAAAAAGTCAAAACATTTACATCTCATATTCAATAACTGTTTCATGCTAGCATTGTTTTAAGAGCAAATTCATAAAATCTGTTTTTGATAATGTTTAGAAGATACCAAATTTGTAAGAAACATTTTGCAAATTAGTTACAATAAACAGCTATCTGCATACAACCCTTCTCTTTCATTCAAACTGTATTTCAGGAAGTGGACTTAATCTCCAAAATATGCCTCCACTAAGAATTTACTTGACACACGATGGCAAGTATTTCTACTAATCCTAATATATTCCCTTGATTTCGTACAGAGGTCATGGTATTGTACATCTGGAAGTACATTTCTAATTATGACTGCAGTGTCTTGGCAACATACGTGTTTGTCTGTGTTTTCAGCATCTGTCATCACCTATCCTTCTAGCAAGTTTTAACTAATAATTATGACTTCTTTTATGAACATGCAAAATATTATGAACATAAATTTCTTTGTGTGAGCCAGTTGAGGCAAGAGAATGCATATGCAGACTGGGACTCAATAGAAGTTTATATCATTCCAAATCCAAATTTCAACCCACCAAATGATTATTTGTAAACATTATCTAGTGCATTTCTCTATACATTCTAGGTGTGTTTTACAACAAATTCTATCATCCATCATGTTAGCCGTAGGTGATGAGAATCATAATAAAATACATCTGGAAGATGCCTTGTTGAAAAAGGAGGGATGTAGTAAGTTTTGATATCTTTGGAAAACAACTACTATAAACATATTTTCTCAAGATGGCTTCTTTTTATTTATTATTTATTAGCTGCACTTCAAAGCTGCTTCCTGTTGTTAAAAAAATAGTCGTGTGGAGACAATTACAACTGGAGTGCCATATAAGCTCAGCAAAATAATATAGCACATTCACAAACAAAACCATAACAGCTTTCTTCTTTATATAGAGTGATTAAGACCAGAATAATGAAAATGTACTTAGATCTGATTGCCATGGCAACCCATTCAAATCAATTATAATTCAACAGGGTTGGGAGTAAGCTCTAAAAGAACCTAAGTGTATAATTCAGCAGTGTGTTGGGGGTTTCAAGTATTCTCCCATTTTTGTCATAAGTGGCTATTAATTGGCTGTGTAATATTTGTGTAGGTAAAATAAATTAGAATACATTAAATAGACAGCTGATTTTATTTTGCTTTTTGATCAGTATTCTCACGCAAGAAGCTACCACCAGTGTGAGTAACTTGGTTATCTGTCTTGATTAGACTATTCTGGAACAGGAAAATATGTAGCCTTCAAGAATTCTTGAAACACTACACTTAAGAGGCCTAGATAGCATAGCCAATGTGAGAAATACTAGGAGCTACAGCTGTTGAACAGCAACATCTGGAAGACCAGCAATTCTGGCACTTTACCCAGGCTGACAAGAAAAAGTGAGATCATGTTTGCCATTTTTTATCTTTATTTTTTATGCTTTATTTGATTATAATTTCTTTGTTTGATGATTGAGAACTAATCATGAGATTTAAGTAGCACACAAGTTATAATAATTATAATTAATAAACTTTCAAGGTGACTCATTATCATCTTAATAGATGTCACGGTTGTTGTCATCTTAATAGCTGTCCTTGTCATGGTACTGTTTTCAGTTATTTTGAATAAAACAAATTTTGGTTATCAAACAACAACCATGCTAATAAAATCTCACATTTGCTTTGTATGGATAATCTGAAGGTTTATAAAAAAAATAGAAATTGAATTGACAAACACTAAGAACTTCACTACTGATATAGTAATGGAGTTTAGCCTAAAAGACACCAGAAATAACTCATTGAAAAGAAGAAAGTGTGAATAATCAATGTGGCAATACTGGGGATAGTAGAAAAGAAGACAAAGAATTGGAGATGATCACAAAATATCAAGATCTGAAAATTGAAAGATTATGACAAACCAGTCATGGTTTATTGGCACAGTTGGTGCCATACCAAAACTCTTCCATTGCACTTAGAAAATATGCACATTGACAACATTTCCACCTGTCAATTACAAAAGTCCATAGTGCTTGGATCCCAGTAGGGAGGTCCACAGGGATGGATGTCAACAGTGTCAAAATGGTAGCTACAATACAACCAGGCAACTAAACCTTGCCCTTTTTACTTAAGCAAAACACAACAAAAAGTGCAGGCTGTGGTCATTTAGACACATTTGGATGGTGTTAATGTTCCTTCCATAGACACCTTTGATCCCAGCTGTACTCTTGGTTCTGATGGCCAAGCCCTTGAATATATTCTGGTGTGCACTGATGCTTGTTTGATTTGCCATTCCTAGAGTCTCATTTCCACAAGCTCACTTCCAATCATGAGAACAGTTAGTCTTGAGAGCAATTCAGAAACCTCTTGCAAAAATCTGTTTAAGTTCCTAATTCTTTAACTCTTGCTGCTAGGTAAGGACAATTTCCTTTTTATCAAGTTCTGTTTAGTTTTGGGACATCAAATGCTGATTTTGATGTTTAAGCATTTGCCAAGTGAGTTGCATCCGAGTCTTAAGTTTTATCATTTTTTGTTTATTGTTTACTTGTATGCTTTGGCCGCGGATACAGGTGCCTTGCAGGATGGATAAAGGGAAGAGAAGCAGGGAATGAAGAAACATGCATCATTGTAATACAAATTCTGCCCCTTATGAACCTCTGAGTATGAAGGAGCAGAGTTTGCACTGCAATACATGTTCTACCATTAGGCATCATTGTGGTTAGAAACAGATGCCTAGAGCTGCTGAAGGCCAATAATGGCAATGATAAAACTAATAACAATTTAACATTACTTACCCAAATCTGAATGTTCACTATTTTCCAGGCTTTTATCCTATTCCTCCGGCTCTCTTCTCCTGGGCTTCCTGTGAGGGCAGAATCTTTTAACATCATCACTGCTGCTGCTGCTGCTGCTGCTGCTGCTGCTACTACTACTACTACTACTACTAAAGCTGCTGCTGCTGGAGTATCTATTCGAAAGGCTCTTGAATATCTTTTGATCCATTTCATCCATCTCGAAGCAGAGGCCGGGGGAGCGAGTTACCTTCAGTGAATCCCCCCACATTTTCTCACACATGTCAGTTCCACTGGCATACATCTAGAATTTAGAGAGACATAAATGGTCTGGTTTATAATATCATTTACCATCAGAACCACACTGTCCTCCTTATAGCTTCCTTTATATCTAGGCTATTATAAAAAAGTAAGGAAGAATGTGGACCGATTCAGTTGGGAAGGATGGATTGGGGAACTAATTTATTCAGCTCATTCGGGACCCAGAGCATACACCATATCAGAAATCTCCCAATTGCTTTATTGTGAGGTTAAAAAAGCTGGAAATGAAAAGAAACACATCTTAACCAACCCTTTGTGTAGAATTTTAGCCTCTCTTTTTTCAGCCTTTTAAACAGAGCTGTACTTTATATCATACCAAGGTTTTTGAACCATTTAATCCAATGTTTTTGTTTTGATTAGTAATTCTTTCTGAAATAGGAGGTGGGGAACCTTTGATAGCCAGGAACTGCACAGTTTAAGTTCATATTACAATATTTATGCATTTCTAGTTTCAAAATTGGGAAACAATGGTGCTTCTATTAGGTCATTGTGATAAGAGTGAATTCATTGTTACTACTGCTTATGCTGTTGGAGGATCTATCCTGAGTGAGCTTGATTGCAATTGGGATCCATTTCATCCATCTCCAGGCAGAAATGGGAGGAGTGACTTATCTTCAGTGGATCACCCCACTTGTCCACAGGAAGGTGGCTTGGGAACCATGTGCAGCACTGGGGTTTCAGTTTGTTTTCATTTGCTCCAGAATCTCTAGCAAACATTATCCTAATTTTCTTCTTATCTAGAGATGCATGAGATATATCACTGAATTGGCCAACACATGCATTTCTAGATGAGCCTTTCCATAACAGACATCTTCCAGATTTCTTTATTATTATTATTATTTATTAAACATTTATTTGACATACATTTAAAACAGACAAATCAATATATATATATATATGGATCTTTGGTTATTCGGGTTTTCTCCCGCGTAAGATTGGAAGTATCTAGGCAACGTTTCGATGAAGTCTCATTCATCATCTTCAGGCTTGTGTCTTCAGCTCTGTGCTTCTCAGAGAAGCTCATATATATATACTCTTAAGTTTTCGCGGGTACTTACATGTATGGTATTCAGCTTTGTTCGGGTATTTTCCCACGTCATTGTAATTGTGCTTTTAAAGTTGTAGCAATGTTTCAGCAGAATCTCATCTGCCATCATCAGGTATTGTGTTTGTATTCTGTATTGTGTTAGAACACAATACAGAAGCCTGATGATGGCAGATGAGATTCTGCCAAAATGTTGCTACAACTTTAAAAGCACAATTACAATGACGTGGGAAAATACCTGGTCATGTCACTTTTTTTCAGTGCAGTTTACCTTCAAACAGTAGCTAAATGGATGGTTTTAAGTCGAGGACTACTTGTATAGAAAGCCATGTGACACTTTTACATTAGAGTGCTATGTATGCCTCAGACTTAGCTTACTATACAATACATTACCTCACTGATTGGGATGCACTCATTCGTACAGTGATTTTCTCTTTTATCATCAATTTCCCAATCAGTCAACCAGTTGCTGACACAAGTGTGATCACTTTTACAAGCTTCATACCTATAAGAAAAAAAACACAAAGCAGTGGCCTTATCTGTGTTTTTAACCACCCCATGTAATGCAACATAATGTGTTTTATTTTTAAAAAAACCAAGTCAATGCTCCTTTAGGATATGATTGGATATTATTCTTTACAAATGTACAGGGAAGTTTAAAACAAGGACATTTTCAGGACAAGGAAGGGAAGAAAAAAATAATATATCTAAACAATGTGGCTTGTTACAATGTTAGAATGTATGTTAAAAAAGAGCTGTAACTTTCCTAGGTGATAGCTATTAGACTAATGAATACTTAATGACTAGAGTTGTGGTCAAATCCAAACTTCCAAAGAGTGATTCTTTCTCTTCATCATTGCAAGGTCAACCTAGCGATCAAAATATTCTGGCCTGGAGAGGTAGCACTGGTCTGGAGTTTACAAAGTGCACTTCATTGATTTCCATTTCTCATTTCTCAAAGTCTTCCGGTGGTTTTTTTTTTTTTTTTAAAACAAGTTTTATTAATTTTTAAAACACACAAATTATCATTATTCATTACATGTTTAAACCTTTTTCCATTGTAAATTTAACAAGTCAGATAAATTATGATTCTGTTTTAAACCATTTCCATATAATATACCAAAACCTCTTATTCAATTTCTCTTTACTTCTCTTTACTCTTATTCAATATCATTATTATTATTTCATCTGATTCTTTCTGACTTAGTTACCATTATTCTCATTCTATATTTCTACAAGTTTTTACCAATTCTCCCCCCAAAAAAGACATATACACACAACACACAAAACATAAAAAAAATATCTTTTTGGAAAGTAACTTGGACCCAGGTGTCTCTCTCTTCATGGACTTCAATTATATTCATGCTCATCTTACATATCATTACTTATTTTATTTACCATTCTAAGCCTTCTATATTAACTTCTCCACATATTTCACACTTCTTAATTCTACCTTAATTAATCATCTTAGTTTAAATCATTATATTTGTATCTTTTGTCCATTTTTTATCATCCCTTTGTCTCATCCCTTATGAAAAAAAAGAAAATCAGTTTCTCCTGAAATCATTAATCAGAGTATGATGCCTTTCTATCTCCCCCCTAAGTTAATCAAATTAATCTTTAAAATAATATCTAATACCCAATCAGATTTTGCTTGGTACATTCTATCTAACTAATACATCCAACACAATTAAGTGCATAATTAGAGAATAAATCCAAATATTAAAAAGAAATACTATAATAAAAATTTTATAATAACATCAATACCATAATTTTATTAAACTCTTTAATTAAAACAATATTCTAAACCTCTCCTATTATTAAGTTTTAAAACCAATCATTTTTAAACATTTTAACATTTTAATCTCTTATCAACTCTTAAACCATTGCAATACTACCATCTCATCTTATGTACCTTGCAAAATCTTTTTTTTTTTAAAAAAAAAATTATACTTTATCCATTATCCATAAAAAATTCCTTTTTTCCATTTAATTTCAAAACATTGTAGCTTTTCTCCACCTTTTCCCTTTCTTTCTTTTCCCAACAAACCTTTCTACCCCCCCTTCTTCTAGCCTCTGCCTTACCGGCTTCCCTTCTCTGTCGTATTTCTTTTCCCCTTTGTTTACAATCATCATATTGGTTTTGCACTTTATTTTTCCCTTTCTTAAATGTTTTTTTAGATCTTAAGTCCTTAAATCCTTTAGTTTTCTTCTTTTCTCTTCTTTTCTTTTCTTTCTCTCTTCCTTTTTTCTGGATCAAATTCTGAGATTCATTAAAGATGGCTCCTTTCTTTCTTTCTTGTTCCTCTGCTGTCTTCATCTGTTGTAATTTTTGTTGATAATTAGTAAGCGCCATTTCTAAGAAAAGGAAAGCTTCTTCCACACCATTTCTTAGTTCCTCAACAGAAAGAGCCATTATAAATCTTTTCTTTTCTTTTCTCCTTCTTTCTTCTTACAACAACCAGAATATTCAAAAGAAAATAAGTGCACTTCCGGTTTGTCGGCTTCGCGAGCGGCAGGGATTTGCGAAGCTGCGCGATCCCTGCAGCGCTAGCCGTTTTTGGGGCTCCGACCCACACGGGTACGGAGCTAGGCTGCCCTGCAGGGGCAGCTGAAGGTAGGGGGGATCCGGAGAAGGGACTGGGGGTGTTGCAGACCCCCTCCCTGGCCGGCAGAACCCCCTTTTCCCAGGACGGTGCAGCGGCGGTCCGTAATGGCCGCCACAAAGAAGCTGGCAGCCGGGTAAGAATGCGCAGGAGGAAGTGGAGAAAGTGATTGAGAGGAGAAAGTTTTTCTTGGCTCCTAGGACTCTAAGACATATTTAATAAAATTCCTGAAAAGTATGACTTTCTGAATAATACCTGCCAGAAGAGGAAAAAAGCGGCTGCTTGAAGGTGCTGAAAGGATAGCTTTCCCTCTTTTCCTACGGAATAAATAACTGGATATTAAGAAACCTATTTTTTTAGGTGGAAATTGGTTTTAAGCGATGAGTGGGAAGAGAGAGGATTAAAAAGAAAATATTTGTATGCTAAGATTTGTTGGAGCAGATGCCTTAAGGATTTGAAGACTAGAATATATTGTAATAAGATTTTAAACAGATTTGGACTTTCTTTCTCTTTGATTGATATTACCCCAGAAGGAGAAAGTGAGAACTCTGCCTTGGTTTGGACTGATTGATAACTTTGGGACTGTTTTATCTTTTTTATTTTCTTTTGAAAGTCTTCCGGTGGTTTTAACCATATAATTGGCAGAAAATTGGAAAGGAAGATCAAAAAAGACCACTCTATCACTGTCATGCTCTAAAATACTACGGGTCTTGCGATAATACTTTGCGGCAATATGGTTGGTAAAATGCTTCTTTGAAAGTTTTCCACAGCCCCACTACCTCTATCTGGAGTTTATGATTGTATGGGGGTTCTGAATGAAGCCAGGAGGCCATCTTTTTGCGTTAAGAACCTGAAAACTGAAAGTAGCATCACCTGAAAATTTAAGATTCAGTTAAAGAAAACTATGCTAGCCATTCCCAAAATCTTCAACATGTCCAGTTAAATTTTTAATTTTATTTTTTGAATGTCAAGACTTTTGCCAGTACCAGCTTTCAAAAACACTTGAAAACATCAAAGAGTACAGAAGAACTTCAGGTAGATCTTTAAACTGTGGCAAACAAAAATTAGTAGCTTGATCTATGGAACAAAACTATTATAATACAATAATAACAATAGAAAGCCATTTCAAATTCTTTCCCCCCCTGAAGGAATATCATCTTAAAATGAATGATGCATATTATCACATGAATTGTAAATAATACTCTGTTCTGTCCTAGAAAAATGCATGTAGGTTTACTTCTCAACATTTTTTAAATGCTAAGAGAAAGTTACTGGTAAGTTAATAAGATTTTAAAAATAATGAAATTGCATTGGAAATTTTGATTTCACCCCAAAGACTGAAAAATTAGAATTTAACTGCAAACAGAATCTTTGTATGTATTTATTTATTTTTGAAAGCAACAAGAAGGTCCACCTACCAGTTATCACAGAATCCTTGGCATATAGGAACAGAAGAAATAGCAGCTGCTTGTTTGGGATGGGCCCAGTGAACAATATCTGGTGAGCACCTATAAAAGCACTCTATTTTCTTCATATAAGTTTCACATCTGTTTTTATGGAGAAAATATTCACTTTTATTATATGAAAAATCTTCAACAAACCAAATGGAAAATTGGGAAGTTTAATTTAGTTGTTCCTTAGACTTGTAATTCTAAAATTATGCTACAATTTTATTTGAGTAAATACTAGGTTTCATATCAAGGCTACATTAATTCTTTATTAATTTCATTGATAACCCTGGGTAGCAACACCAAAGGGCTGAATAGAAGAGTTATTATTTATTTATTTATAAAATTTATAGGTCACCCATCTTACCCCTTTTTTCACCTAGTCTCTCTTGCTACATTGCCTTAATTACAAGTAGTCCTTGACTTAACAACCACAATTGAGCCCAAAATTTCTGTAGCTAAGTGAGACAGTTAAGTGAATTTTGCCCCATCTTGCCAAAGTTGTTAGCTGAATCACAGCAGTTGTTAAATTAGTAACACGGTTGTTAAGTGAATCTGGCTTCCTCATTGACTTTGCTTGTCAGAAGGTCACAAAAGGTGATCACATGACCTTAGGACTCATCAGAAAGATGAGTCAGTTGCCAAGTGTCTGAGTTTTGATGTGACCATGGGTATGCTGCAATGGTTGTCAATGTGAAAAATGGTCATGTCACTTTTTTCAATGCTACTGTAATTTTGAATGGTTGCTGAATGAGTTGTTTAGCAAAGGCTACCTGTATTTGCTTTAATTCAATTGCCTTGCATTGAATTAATATACTATAAATCACTTTGGGAATCTTTGGATTTTGGACAATAAAAAATTAATTTTTAATATAACTCTACTTTTAGAAGAAGAATAACAGCAACATCTGGAGCACCCCTTGAATATCATGAACATTAATAAAATCACCATCTGTCAATTGCAAAAGACAGCTTTACTTGGAATAGCTTACATCCTTTAAAGCCATCAAACAACATCTGCTTGTCCTAGGTTCTTGGTAAAGACTCAATAGTTGGATAAAAATGTCAAATCCAGTCTAAACATCTGGCTGATTGCACAACAAACCATAATAACGTGTTAAATGTATACTTATGTCACCCAATTTCCAGGAACTCTTTATGTTGTGCTGTTGTTACAAACAGCAATTATGGCAGAATTATGGCAAATAACATATCCTAGAAACATGTGGAAAATAAAAACAAAATGAAACCTACGCTGGGCTAAGATTTCCACATCTGTTCCAGAAGGTGGTATGTACTTTAATGACTGGTGAATGAGCCAGTTCTTCTGTAATGTCTGCAGAGCAACAGGCAGCTGTGGGAAATTAAAAACCAAAGAATTGTTAATAAAGGCTTACTTTCTAACACAGTTATAACTGTGACACCTCTGACCTACTTAAATACCCACAAAAGCCAAGACTGTTACAATTGGAATTAAATTGTGGGGCACTTTTAGATGAAGAGTTGTTTTGTTCCCCTTCTTGCAAATCCTCTTGAAAATTCAGCTTATCTGCCTCCTAAATCTAGGAAACTCTCAAGAAAACTGACAGCTAATTAATGCAGTAGTTAATACAGTTTTTCATGCCAATATCTGAGTAAAGACAGCTATCAACCAATCACATTTAGCTATTTGCCACTACGTAATTGATTACTTACTTTGCCTGTTGATTTCATATCTAAATGTCCATGTCTTTCCTGCCTTAAAATCTATCTAGTATCGATCGATCAATCTACCTACTTAACTACCTATCTTCACCTTTCTTTCTCTTACTAAAAAGTGTTACATGACAATCTCAGCTAGGTGGCAGAAATGGATGCCTATGGGCCCATCTGCAGTGACTATGTATCCGGGTGTCTCTGTGTGTGCAGCAAAAATTTTTAATTTGGAATGTAGGAGGAAGTAAGAATTAAAAGAAAATAAAATATATATGTGGGGTATCTGTAAAACAAATAAAAGAAATAATTTAGCAGAACTGAAATAAGAGAGTGTGATTTTTTTGACCTATAGGTAAGTGACAACATATCAGTAGTAGCTTGAAAGAAAGTATTATACGTGTCAGAAATTATGACTTGATAGCATCTATGCTGTTGTGCAAATGTTGGAAAGTAGAAATGCCTATAGGGGTGATAGTTGCACATTAAGCTCTAGGGAACCATGATAATAAAAGAACTGGGGATGAGTTTGAAGAAAATTGTGGATCTGTTTCCTCCTATCCTTTTGAGTCAATGGATATTTGGCCTTTTTTCTCCAGTTGGCCCTGGAATGTATCAGCTCCACGTTTACACAATGATATACCTGACTTGAGCAGCGCTGGCTCCCACCTCACTGGCTTTTACTCATTGAATTACTTATATAAAAGAAGTATGTTGAGGTGATTTGTTCTATATAGTGGATGAATGAGGGGCTAACTGCAAATCTAGGATATGAAGGAGGTGTGAATGGGGTTACGAAGTCCCCCAGTCATAGTTGGAAGAAGTCATGAGATACTCAGAGAAAAGTGAATTGAGAAGTTTAAAGAGTGAGTGTTAAAGAGTCAATGTGTGAAGTGATGTATGGATATGTATGGAAGATCAATGATTTATAAGGATACGAAGTATGAAGAGACATTATGAATGATTTCGGTGTAAACTTTATCATTTTTCTTTTTCTACTTGAATTTGACTTGAATTTCTTGGCTTATTCATTTTTATTCTTTTCTGTGCTTTTTTATTTTAATCTTGACAGTCCCTGTACTTTGTTATTATTTCATCACAGAAGTAATTAGTTAGCCCCTAGTGTGCATGCATATGGGTATATACAACACACACACACACACACACACACACACACAAACACACACATACAGTATGTAACTGTATCATGACATTTAGCTCACATTAGTGGCATGAACAAACGATAAAGTACAAAGTAATCCTTCAAGACCCTCTGTTAACAAAGGCATCAATGTACAGCCTGTTGGTCCCATAGAATCTAATTTTTAACACAGTTTTGCACCACTTACATTCGGCATATAGGGTACATTCCTGCAAGTATTTCTCTGGGGTAGGCCTTAGCTTGTGACCAGCCCCTCTTAGACATCTTTGTCTCTTTCCAGTACTAGGCATTAAGACAACAAGGAACAGGAGCACTGAAAATCGCAACATCTTCTTGTTACTGGTATTCTTGTCAGGGATCCTGTATGGAAGATGACATTTCAATCATAACGGTGGTTTATGAAACGTAGGGGCAACCTTAATGTGAAATGTTAGAAAATATTACAACTAAAATCTAATAAGCAGAACATGGTTTTCCTTCTTATCCTCCTTAAACAACTGAACTGAAAATATGTTTATTTATTTAATTTAAATTTTCTGTTCAAATAAATGTGTAGGGAATTTTGCCTTTAAAGCAAATGACTCAAAGAACAACCAATATTTTCCTGCCTCAACCCTTTCTTCCTCTCTCTTGCCTGAAGAAGAGTTTGAGGAATTAGAAAGTTTCCAGTAAGTTTATAAAATATGATACGATAAAATATGATCCCTATAAATTTGGATTTCTTTTTCCTTATGGTGAATACTGTACAATTATTTTTGCTTTTGAACTGAGATTATTAGCATACCTTGTGCAAACATTTCAATTCAATAACTTTGTTTGTGGTTTCCATACCTCAACTTTCTATAAGGACGACAGTGTGGATAAAGTTTCTCCATAACAGGTATGCAACAGGTATATATATATACGTTGTATTTTTATCTCCCATCTCAGTGCTGCATTCCCAGTATGCATCCTATCTCTCAGGCCATAAGATGTAATATAAACAAATATTAGTAAATGGGGTTGAAGCAGCTTTTGCCATTGTGGGAATGGCCAAGTGATTAATGAGAACTAACTATGTACTATTACTACATTAGTATTCTGTAGTAGCAAGATGTGCTCCAGCACAAAATCTCCAACTTTAAAAAGTTTTGTGTTCACTACTCTGTGTACCATGTAATCTTTGGAGTATGTTAATAATCAACGGCTTTTTTAGCCTATTGGCTTTCTATATTTATCTTCTCATTAGCAGAATATGTATGTTGCTTTCCATTATGAATCCCACCAAATGACATAAAAAAGACAGAGACACTTGACTTTGTAATATCTCTTGAGGAATCGAGATATTTTGGGGGTTCCAAACTTCCTGGCCATTGCAGAATATGAAGAGGTTAATGTCACAATATAGAACACAGAACAATAGAGTTAGAAGGGACCTCAGAGGTCTTCTAGTCCAACCCCCTGCTGGAGCAGGAGACCCTATACCACCACTTCAGACGAATGGTTGTCTAGACTCTTTTCAGAAGCTTCCAATGTTGGTTGGATTTCTCTTTAATTGTATTGAAACAATAAAACGTTGAAAACAGTTTTTTTTTTTTCCTTATCTGAGAAACTTTGACCTGGAGTAGTAAGCGGTATTACATAATTGAAACACTTTTCTGTATTAGAAATTTAAACTGGAATAACAACTGGTGTATGTGTGGCATATCCTTTTGTTTGCTAATTTATAATGTACAAGAATACCAGAGCAAGAGAACTTTTTCCAGGTGAAGGACAAATGGGCCAGAAAGCAATTTAACTCCAATCTCCAATCCTCCTTGACACAATAAATAAATTAAACTTTATTGTTTCAAAATATGAATTAACTCCAACAATTAACATTTTTTACAGGATGTGAAATATAGATGATTTGCTTACTGAGGAGTTAAGAAGAATTAAGCATTTCCCTTGCCAGTGCACTTAAACTACAATTCCAAATTGTTGACAAATATTGTTTTTTTTCCTGGTATGTTTATCAACTGTAGTAGTTTTGGCAAAATATGCATGGTGGTTACTTAAGCATTACAAATACATCTGTTTACTGATGATCCTATCATCTTGAGGACATACAGTAACTTTATACATACGTGTGTGTGTGCGTGTGCGTGCATGTGTGTGTGTGTATGCCGTAGAGTAGGCATTGACTCCTGGTACCTGTCTGGATAAATCCCTTGTAGTTTTCTTGGCAAGATTTCAGAAGGGATTTGCCATTGCTTCCTGTTTCTAGGGCTGAGAGAGAGTGTCACTGGCCCAGGGTCAACCAGCTGGTTTTGTGCCTTAAGGTAGGACTAGAATTCAGTTTTCCAATCCTTGGCCTTGTGCCTTAATTGCCATACCATAATTCTTGCGTCCCTGTCTTATATAAATTATACTACATCATTGCTACTTGCCACATAGGATAATAAGATTGGGTCTGGGTTAGAGACTTCTGTCCTCACTATGAGTTTTGTGGGGGTGGGTGGGGTGCATGAAGGAGGCTCAGCCAATCTCATTGTACACATGTTGTACTCTGACAATAAAGGTAATAACAACAATTGTGCATACAGCTTAGCAAACATGATCATTTATTTCCATTCACTTACTCTAAGATTAAAATAGTACACTGTCATTTTATGGCTTCTTTGGATTTTATATTCCTTTTGTTTTGAGGAACTGGTATTGACACTTCCCTTATCAATTGAGCTCTCTTCCACTCTATTAACTGTTTTCACATCCCAAATTCCTAGAAACAGATTGAGGCCAATTTATGATAATTCTCCCATCCATCATCCTTGAAATGCAATGAAACTATATGAGAATTAGTACTCTCCAACTAATCATTTTTAAAATGTGATAAATAAATTTTAAAAAAATGAACTGGTACAAGACCATAAAAATGGTATCTAATTGGTGCCCTTCACAGTCAATTTCATTCTCTGATTAAAATATTTTTAATGTACTGGGAGAGGTAGGGTGGCTTTATATTTATTAAAATAGAAGAAACATTAAGGTTGAAGTTATGATAGCTTATTTCCAGCAGGAGTTACAGTACATTGTATAATACACTATATAAAGTAATAATAATGTGATTTACATTGAACAATAATATAGTTACTTTTATTTAGCATGTTGTATGAACACATCTGCCATTTATTAACTATACCTATGGTGCAATGTACAAGTTTAGCTATTACATAAAGAAGATAGTTAATATATAGCATAGTTTCATATCTGATGCAAAAATGGATTAAAAGTAAAAACAGACCTGATATTACATGTGTAAATGCATTTAATATGTTGTTTCTCTGTGAACAGTACAACCTGGAGTGGAATGAAGAGAAAGAATAAAGGAACAACGCCTCCAAGAAAGGAGACTAGCTGTTTACAGTATGTAAAGGTCTAACTTAAAAAGCCATTATGATACCTACTCATTTTTCTTTCCAAAAGGGAAGTTTCCATCATAAAGTGCTGAACATCCTTTTAGGTAAAGATTTGCCAAAGCAAGGATTATAGAATTAGTACTGGTAATTGTTCTAATTAATCAGTTCTAAAGCAAATGAAGCCAAATGTAACCATTGATTGCTTACCACTTTAGCTGGCCTTCTGTTCCTTTCTTTTTCCTCTGGAAAGAGACTGAGCAAAACAAAAGTTTCTCGTCTTTTCTGTCTATTATACCCTCTGTATATATTGATTGTCAGCAAAAAAAGTAAAGATTCCTAGAGTTTTTTTTTGCAAAGGCTAACAGACTTATCTCTGGGTCATTTATAGCTGGGATGTTGACTTATTTGCTTTGTTGGATTAGAGAAAACATTTTAACTTTGGAACAACCAATCAGAAGGCCTGAAAACTTGCAATTCATCTAATAGACTCATATTCAGTTAGAGCTGGATCACATTGCCCATTCACTGATTTCAATAATTAGGTGTATACGGTATTGATCCTGAGGCTGCAGTTTTTGAAGTATAAAGCTGCAACAGGACCCTCTTCTTCCTTCATATTTTAAAATCTCTTTTTAGTTAAGGGTATAAACTGACCCCAGGCAGCTTGGGAATCAGCTTTCCTATTAATAAAACCATAATTACTGAACTTTTGGTAGGCTGTTATGTTTGATGCGACTATGCTAGTTATGCAGATGTTTGTGCTTATAAAATGTCAGTTATATAACTCCATTTTTGATACTTTAGGAATAAGACTGCAAAAGTTGGGGAGTGTCATTGTACTATATCTGGAAGATACCGGCTTGGGAAAACTTACCAACATTCCTGTCATTTATTTTATTTAGTGATTTAGAAAATTTACATTTCTAGTTTCTTTGAATGTAGAGCAAAACATAATTATTTGCCCCTTTTTTTGCTTGTTTTCAGCAAACAATTCAAAACTTTACATTTAAAGGCATAACAGATACTACATATAAAAAAATCACAATCTTTGAAATCAAAACTCCACATAAACAAAGATCATTTTAAAAATTTATATGCATTTTAAAATGAATTACTAATAATCAGATAAAGTTGTAAAACAGGTAAAAATTAAGAACATCTTAGTGTTACCAGTCTATATTTGCTATCTCTTACTGACAGAATCACCTCTTTTTGAAGAGGCAGCAATTCCACAAGGAAAGAGAAGGAAAGTACTAAACCTTCAATTTTATGTGAAACTGGGCACCAAGTTTTTGATGGCTGATGGTGATGCAGAAAACATTGTTTCTAGGACAGAAGCCACGAATGATAATAAATGTATATAGCTGGCTGGAGAATTCTGGGAGTTGAAGTTCACAAGTCTTAAAGTTGCCAAGTTTGGAGTCCTCTGTTCTAGATTGTGGGGGGAAAAACAACATAAAAGTTTCTATGATGAAATTTATTTTATATTTACCTAACAATACCAAGTAAACTGCATGCCTTGAAATTGGGTGTGTCTACAAAGATACTGTAGATATGGCAGATAAATTATAGTGACAATTTTGTATAGAAATGGAGGCTTAGTAAACAACCAAAACAGCAATACATTATAAAATGATTTTATTTTCCTTTGTTTTCCCCCCAAATTGCCACATATCAATTGGAGTTTACAAATTATATTATACTATTATGTGCTCCATGGTGTAACACATTGTATAAATTAGCCTGTGAGTTTATGTTTTCAGTCTTTTCCTATGATTCCAATATTTTTTTCATATATTTTATCACAACTAATTACCCTTTATGGATGTATGTGAGATATTCCAAAATGTCTTTTATCAATAAATGTCCCACATCACTCATGGAAAGTTCTTTCAGACAAGATATTAGCAAATATATTTGAAAACTGATCAGGTCAAATTGACCAGGACTATGTCACCCAGATGACAAGTAGTGATTATTACTAAAGCTCTGCAAATAAATATACAGTAAATCTTTAACAATTTTCTTGGTATTTAAATATATATATTGATTGATTTCTTTCCAGGCTGATAACTTTGTCATCTAATACGGAGCAAGACTGACAACTGAGAATAATGCTAAAATCAAGACCAATCACATAATTCTTGTTAAGAAAACAAGAATTGCTATAACAAGAAATAATTAATACTGTAATAGCATTAAATAATACAGCTGTAATATAGTGAAAAGTAGTTATTGAAGAATATTTTTCAAGACGTGGGCAAACTTTGGGAGTCAGTGGGTACTATACACAGGTAATCCTCAGTTTACAACCATTTACTTAGTGACAATTTAAAATCACAATGACACTGAAAAAAAGTGACTGACAGTTTTTTTCACACTTACAGCATCTCCTTGGTCATGTGATCAAAATTCGGGTGCTTGGTACTGGCGTGTATTTATGACAGTTGCACTGTCCTGGACTCGTGATCTCAATTTATAACCTTCCCAGCCAGCTTTCAACGAAGTCAGTGAGGAAGCCAGGTTTACTTATCACCCCATGATTCAGTTAACAAAAGTGGCAAAAAGGTTGTAAACTGGGGCAAACCTCACTTAACAACTGCCAATAGTTGTGCTCAATTGTGGCTGTAAGTTGAGGACTACCTCTATAGAGATTATGTCATGCTTTATGCTTTCAGAAAAGAACTGCTACAACTAAGAATGGCTGCTATGATCAGCATGGTCAGACCTAAAAAACACTGTTAGACAAAAGGTAAATGATTGAAAATGAGCTGTCTGTCACTTTGTTTGCAGCAGAGACTAAAAGCAAACATACAAATACAATTAATTTCTCCATAATTGCCTAGAGCATTAGCAATGAAAATTTATTTAAAATACAAAATAATATTACTGTAATGAATTGTATTAGTTTCAGTTCATGACCATTAAGGTGCTTTGTATCTCACCTGTAGTCATAGCCTGAAGCAGGAGTGTCAAACTCACGTCATCACGGTGGCATCACGTGATGTATCGGGACTTTCCCCCCCTTTGCTAAACCAGTTGTGGCCGTGGCCAGTGCATGACGCATCTGGCCCGTGGGCTGGGAGTTTGATAGCCCTGGACTAAAGGATTTTTGGACCCATTTTCTTTTCCTAAGGAAGTATGACTGGCTTCCTGGCTGTCCTGTTTAGAGGAAAATATTTTCATCTAGATATATATATATGGCAAATATTTAACCAGATCAAAAGATGCTATCCAATTATAACTGGATAGCGTATGATATATTTTTCTAAATTGTTTTATATATAAATTATGTGTATTATTGTTTTTATAATTTTTAAATTGTATTTTTCATTGTCATTATATTGTTTACTTCTATGGATTATACTGTAGATAAAAATACCAAATGAAAGTCTGACTAATTGTGAATAAAAGCATGCATGGTATGTGTGCACTGATATCCAAAATAATACATTTTATGAATAGTGTAAATGTATCAGTCTACTCATATAGAAACCTAATTTTAAAGTAAAAATTTCTTGGATTCTAGATATAAGTTAGCAGTAACACTAAGATTAGAGCATTTATTCATACTGAAGAGCAAAAACAAGGCTGTTTATTTTATCAGTGCAATGCTGAAGTCCCAAAAGCACTTGCAACAGTTTAAAATTGGTTTATCAGTTTATAGCTGTTCCAAAACTTGCTGCCCAATATTGAATGTTTAATGTTTAATGTTTGAAGTGATATAATAGGAAATTGTGGGGAGGAAATAATATTATGTGTATTAAATCAAATTGAATTTAAATCATATTTATTTTTTATCCTGAGATCTGGCCACATTTTGGAACCTGATCCTATCCTTGGACTGCTATGATTAAACAGAAATTCTCTCTCTCTGTTCAAAATTCTTAATACTTGTTTTGCTAAGCAAAGAAATCTTATGATACCAACGACTTCATTTGTTGTGAAGACTTAACAAACTGCATAACATCAAAAGAAAATTTAACCTTTTATGGGACTAGCAGAAAACTATTTAAGAAAGAACTATTCAAGAATGGTGATGGTCAGTTTATGTGTGAAAGCTCTTTGTTTTGATGTGTTAAGTAGCCAAACCAATTCAACAATAAAGGCAACGTACTTCATTTACGATAACATTCCCTTCAGTTGTAACACTGATGGTGTGTACCCCTGCCATGGATGCTGCTGATAGTTTCAGTTATGATAGGCTATTCTATAAATACTCCTGTGTAAAAGAATACAAGTAGTCCTTGACTTATGACCAGGTGGTTAACAAATGTTCAGTTACAATGAGCTTGAAAACAATTATTTATAATCTGTCCCTGATGTTATAACTGCTGCACCATCTTTGTAGTCATGTGATTGCATTTTGGTTGCTCGGCAACCAGCTTGCATTTACAATTGGTTGCAGCATCCTGCAGTCATGGTGATTGCTTGTTATGGTTTTTTTGCCATATTCCAGAAAAAAAAAAAATGCCCGTTTTATAAAGCAGATTCACACTTATGAGCAGGTGGTTCTCTTAACAGCTGCAGTGACTCACTTAATGTCATAAAAACTGTTTTGGATTGAGTCTGGTTATGCGGTGCCTTCACTTAGAACTGCAAAAACTTATGACTGAAATTTTGATCCAATTGTGGTTATAAGTTGAGGACTATTTGTATCCTAAAAACTCAGAGAAATCATTATTTTCTTTAGTAATGATAATTATTTCAAACAATTCATCATGTGCTCATTTTTTAAAAAAAGACTTCCTGAGATTAGATGCTAGCTCTTCAAAAACAGATCAACCAAGATTTTATTTATAGAATTTAGAAGTTGTTGCGAGAGAGACTGGCTGAGCCAAGGGGAGGAGTCAAATGGGGAATTAGTCTGGAATCCCTATGTGAGCATAAGACAGCAAATCGTGACTCCCTTTCAATGCCATTAAATCGTATCTAGTTTTACACAGGTACAAACTGTCAGAGAAGATTCCAGTGTATAGGCTTGAGGGAAAAAAAACTACAGCTAATTGAACTAATTGAACACCAGACTTGAAATTCTAGACCTAGAAAACCTAGAACTACGCCGCCTCTAAGTATAGTATATAAAATCATACATTGCAATGTCCTACCTGTCAATGAATACTTCAGCTTCAACCATAACAACACAAGAGCAAACAATAGATACAAACTCAAGGTTAATTGCACCAAACTTGATTGCAGGAAATACGACTTCAGCAACAGAGTGGTCAATGTCTGGAATACTCTACCTGACTCTGGTTTCTTCCTCAAATCCCAAAAACTTTAACCTTAGACTGTCTACTATTGACCTCACCCCTTTCCTAAGAGGTCTGTAGGGGGCGTGCATAAGCGCACCAATCGTGCCTACCGTCCCTGT